GCAGCAGGAGGCATGATGGGAGGTTTCATCAGCCTGTTCGTTTGCATTCAAAGGATAATAATCAGCTGACTACTTGACATTTGAGCTCGTTAAAGTGACGAGAGAGAGTTTAATCATTCTGCAGCAGAGAGAAATTAATATAAACGTGCAGTTAATCATGTGCGTTTTTATCTTTCAGTTGAAATAATAACTCATTCATTAATATGTCTGAGTGAAAACGAGGAATGGTGATTTTTATTAGTAGTTTATTTTATTACTTCCTAAGTTAGAAAGATGTACTAGTTTAATACAACTTCAGAAAGTAGAAATACTTCATACAAAATCTTGATTTTTCTCATTTGTTTCCTGCTAACGGAGGAAGACATAAAAGAAATAATGATAATAGAATAACAACAGAGTGTGAAAACATGTGATGAATAAATACTAATAATAATGAGGATTTAAATCCTTAAACTGCAGCGTTATAATTCAGAATAAACCTGAATATTGCACATTAATTAAGTAATGAGCTAAATACAGGATGTGTACATGTACACAGTATATGTGTGTATTCTATGTATATATATATATATCTGTCTCTGTGCACACATGAAGGTTTAATCTGTGTTTGTCCTTCATCACCACCAGATGGAGGCAGAGCAGTTTCCTCTGGTCTTCAACAGACCGACAGACTCTTCTTCTTCTTCTTCTTCTTCTTCTTCTTCTCTGCTAAAAGATCATAATGATTATTTATCATTCAGAGGATTTATTCAGTCATGAAATGTGTGTGAATGTGTTTCATCAGTTTGGTCTCGTGTTTATTGATAGTAAACTGCAGTACATCCAGAGTGTTTGTGTGGGCCGTGCTAATAAGTTAGCACTTTATTAGCATAAAGCTTTTATCAGAAGCCTGGTCTGGTTTTTATAAAACCTCTTTAGTTGCTATAAGCTGCTCAGATCATGAATACAAATGTAAATGTTTAAAAGTGCTGCACATCGTTAGATCAGTTGATGATATTCACAGATAAACACTCCAGCAGAGAGAGACAGAAAGTAAAGGGCCGGGAGATTTACGGTCCTTCATGTTCAATAATGGTAGCGTTTGTGCTAACACATTAGCGTGCACTCTGCAGAATGAAAGCACAACTCTTCAGGAAGACTTTTCACATTTTCCATCCTGATGTGAAACAAATAAAAACGGGTTCACCACGTGAGGACAGCAGGTTTTGTTCCTGCTGACTCTGCTTTGTATTTTTGATTTATTTTAAATCAAAGAGATGCTAACGATGCTAACGATGCTAACGTGGCGCTCTCTGTCTCCTCTGTGTGTGAAGACGAGCTGTGCGAGCTGAAGGCCGAGCGGCCGATCACGTTGGCAGAAACTCTGACGGCCAAAGAGAGGGAGTCCCTGGAGGAGAAGGAGGAGACGCTGGGAGACGGAGAGAAGGGCCAGCAGGACGAAGAGAAGGAGGTGAAGGAGGAGAAGGTGGAGGAAGAGCGAGGAGGAGGAGGGCAGGATGAAGAGGAGGAGGAGGTGGTGGAGCTGAGAGCTCAGGTGTTGCAGCTGCTGCTGGAGCTGGACGAGACCAGAGAGGTTTCCCAGAGACACGAGGAGAGTTTCCTCGAGCTGCAGGGTCAGAAACTCTCTTTACACCAAACGCTCTGAAGCTCGCTGAGCTTCCTGCTCTTCATCCTCATCTGTTTCTTCCTCTCTGATCTCAGGTCTGTTAGAAGACGAGCGGCTGGCGAGCGCCCATCAGGCCGAGAGCTTCACCAGACAGATCCAGCGACTGCAAGGTACGCTCGCCTTTTAACCCACCGGCTCCGTCACCTCTCACTCTGAGCCGGTCCTCGGGTCTGACACTTTCTTTCTTCCTACTCCGTCACCTCTCGCTCTGAGCCGGTCCTCGGGTCTGACACTTTCTTTCTGCCTACTCCGTCACCTCTCTCTCTGAGCCGGTCCTCGGGTCTGACACTTTCTTTCTGCCTACTCCGTCACCTCTCGCTCTCTGAGCCGGTCCTCGGGTCTGACACTTTCTTTCTTCCTACTCCGTCACCTCTCGCTCTCTGAGCCGGTCCTCGGGTCTGACACTTTCTTTCTTCCTACTCCGTCACCTCTCTCTCTGAGCCGGTCCTCGGGTCTGACACTTTCTTTCTTCCTACTCCGTCACCTCTCGCTCTCTGAGCCGGTCCTCGGTCTGACACTTTCTTTCTTCCTACTCCGTCACCTCTCTCGCTCTGAGCCGGTCCTCGGTCTGACACTTTCTTTCTTCCTACTCCGTCACCTCTCTCTCTGAGCCGGTCCTCGGGTCTGACACTTTCTTTCTTCCTACTCCGTCACCTCTCTCTCTGAGCCGGTCCTCGGGTCTGACACTTTCTTTCTTCCTACTCCGTCACCTCTCTCTGAGCCGGTCCTCGGTCTGACACTTTCTTTCTTCCTACTCCGTCAGCTCTCTCTCTGAGCCGGTCCTCGGGTCTGACACTTTCTTTCTTCCTACTCCGTCAGCTCTCTCTCTGAGCCGGTCCTCGGTCTGACACTTTCTTTCTTCCTACTCCGTCAGCTCTCTCTCTGAGCCGGTCCTCGTGTCTGACACTTTCTTTCTTCCTACTCCGTCAGCTCTCTCTCTGAGCCGGTCCTCGTGTCTGACACTTTCTTTCTTCCTACTCCGTCAGCTCTCTCTCTGAGCCGGTCCTCGGGTCTGACACTTTCTTTCTTCCTACTCCGTCAGCTCTCTCTCTGAGCCGGTCCTCGGGTCTGACACTTTCTTTCTTCCTACTCCGTCACCTCTCTCTCTGAGCCGGTCCTCGTGTCTGACACTTTCTTTCTTCTTACTCCGTCAGCTCTCTCTCTGAGCCGGTCCTCGGGTCTGACACTTTCTTTCTTCCTACTCCGTCACCTCTCTCTCTGAGCCGGTCCTCGGTCTGACACTTTCTTTCTTCCTACTCCGTCACCTCTCTCTCTCTGAGCCGGTCCTCGGGTCTGACACTTTCTTTCTTCCTACTCCGTCACCTCTCTCTCTGAGCCGGTCCTCGGGTCTGACACTTTCTTTCTTCCTACTCCGTCACCTCTCTCTCTGAGCCGGTCCTCGGGTCTGACACTTTCTTTCTTCCTACTCCGTCACCTCTCTCTCTGAGCCGGTCCTCGGGTCTGACACTTTCTTTCTTCCTACTCCGTCACCTCTCTCTCTGAGCCGGTCCTCGGGTCTGGCACTTTCTTTCTTCCTACTCCGTCACCTCTCTCTCTGAGCCGGTCCTCGGGTCTGACACTTTCTTTCTTCCTACTCCGTCACCTCTCTCTCTGAGCCGGTCCTCGGGTCTGACACTTTCTTTCTTCCTACTCCGTCACCTCTCTCTGAGCCGGTCCTCGGTCTGACACTTTCTTTCTTCCTACTCCGTCACCTCTCTCTCTCTGAGCCGGTCCTCGGTCTGACACTTTCTTTCTTCCTACTCCGTCACCTCTCTCTCTGAGCCGGTCCTCGGGTCTGACACTTTCTTTCTTCCTACTCCGTCAGCTCTCTCTCTGAGCCGGTCCTCGGGTCTGACACTTTCTTTCTTCCTACTCCGTCAGCTCTCTCTCTGAGCCGGTCCTCGGGTCTGACACTTTCTTTCTTCCTACTCCGTCACCTCGCTCTCTGAGCCGGTCCTCGGGTCTGACACTTTCTTTCTTCCTACTCCGTCACCTCTCTCTCTGAGCCGGTCCTCGTGTCTGACACTTTCTTTCTTCCTACTCCGTCACCTCTCTCTCTGAGCCGGTCCTCGTGTCTGACACTTTCTTTCTTCCTACTCCGTCACCTCTCTCTCTGAGCCGGTCCTCGGGTCTGACACTTTCTTTCTTCCTACTCCGTCACCTCTCTCTCTCTGAGCCGGTCCTCGGGTCTGACACTTTCTTTCTTCCTACTCCGTCACCTCTCTCTCTGAGCCGGTCCTCGGGTCTGACACTTTCTTTCTTCCTACTCCGTCAGCTCTCTCTCTGAGCCGGTCCTCGTGTCTGACACTTTCTTTCTTCCTACTCCGTCACCTCTCTCTCTGAGCCGGTCCTCGTGTCTGACACTTTCTTTCTTCCTACTCCGTCACCTCTCTCTCTGAGCCGGTCCTCGGGTCTGACACTTTCTTTCTTCCTACTCCGTCACCTCGCTCTCTGAGCCGGTCCTCGGGTCTGACACTTTCTTTCTTCCTACTCCGTCACCTCTCTCTCTGAGCCGGTCCTCGTGTCTGACACTTTCTTTCTTCCTACTCCGTCACCTCTCTCTCTGAGCCGGTCCTCGGGTCTGACACTTTCTTTCTTCCTACTCCGTCACCTCTCTCTCTGAGCCGGTCCTCGTGTCTGACACTTTCTTTCTTCCTACTCCGTCAGCTCTCTCTCTGAGCCGGTCCTCGTGTCTGACACTTTCTTTCTTCCTACTCCGTCACCTCTCTCTCTGAGCCGGTCCTCGGGTCTGACACTTTCTTTCTTCCTACTCCGTCACCTCGCTCTCTGAGCCGGTCCTCGGGTCTGACACTTTCTTTCTTCCTACTCCGTCACCTCTCTCTCTGAGCCGGTCCTCGTGTCTGACACTTTCTTTCTTCCTACTCCGTCACCTCTCTCTCTGAGCCGGTCCTCGGGTCTGACACTTTCTTTCTTCCTACTCCGTCACCTCTCTCGCTCTGAGCCGGTCCTCGGGTCTGACACTTTCTTTCTTCCTACTCCGTCACCTCTCTCGCTCTGAGCCGGTCCTCGGGTCTGACACTTTCTTTCTTCCTAAAGGTAACTCTGCTTCTTCCTCTTCCAGCTCAGCTCCGGTCGGTCCAGGAGGAGATGGACAGTCTGGAGGAGGAGAAGGAGAGCGAGCTGGAGGAGGTGCAGGAGGAGCTCCGTTCGGCCCAGGAGGAGGTGCTGATGCTGCAGCAGGCGGCCGAGGAGGCGGCGGCGGAGAGGGAGAACGACATCGCCTCCCTGCAGGAGGAGCTGTGTCGGCTGCGGGCCGAGCTGCAGCGCCTCCACGCCACGGCGCAGGAGTACGAGCTGGAGATCACCACGCTGAGGGCCGAGATCAGCATGAAGAGCCAGAACCAGGACTCGCACAGACCCGGTACCCCGGCCTCAGACCCGGATCCCCTTTAGTATTTAGAAATGATTAAAAACAAAACAAAAACACATGAAGAGGTTTCAGCTAGTGCAGCGAGTAAGAAAGGGTACTGTTCTTCATCTTCCTCCTCCTCTTCATCTTCCTCAAAAGGAGAGAAGAACAAAAGGAGGAAGAACAGATGAAAGGAAGTAGAAAGAAAGGAAGGAACAAGGGAAGAAGGAGGTAGGAAGGGGGGAGGAAAGAAGGAGTAGGGTTGTTTATCGTTACTCGGATTGTCTTGTCAGCCCCCTCAGGTCTCTAAAGTGAGAGGAGTCTCTGTCCTAGACGGCGTCTCTGGGTCTCATCTGGAGACATCGCTGGTTTCCCTTCAGTATAAAAGCTGAACGTCGGCTCACCTGCGTTCTGTACCTGAGGCGTTGCTGCTGTTAGCGTTAGCTGGATCTGGGAGAGCGCGACACGTTGAACACGGTGAAGCGTTCCTTCAGATTCACGCCGTGTTGAAGGAAACGGTTCGCCTTCCTCCCTCGCACCAAACCTCCTGACTGCAGCTGGTGCGGCTTTTTAGTGAAGCTGAACCAAACTTTGGAGCGTTTGCTGCGGTCCGCCACGGTCCAGGACCGGAACCAGAAGGACTCTCTTCTTCAGGCTTTGTTGACGCATCAGGTGACGTTCGGTCTGGAGGAGGAGGAAACAGTTTATGGTCTTCTAACAGTTCAGTAGTTCCTCTGTGTCCTGGCTCTGCAGACCTCAGATGAAGACGTAAGGTTTCCAAGTCAAAGTGTTTATTGACTGTGGAACAGGATTCTGTCCGTCCTCGTAGTTCAGCGGCGCGGGACAAACAGACTCCTGGAGGATTTTAATTCACAGCCTGTTGTTTCTGTCGCTGTGACAGGAAATCAGTGAGCAGCAGAGAGAAGATTTACAGTCTTCGGTCTCTGGCTGCTGATTAAAGAGATCGATCACTTGTTTGTAAGTGAATCACTGTGAGCAGCAGCCCTGCTGCTTCTCTTTCAGACTCCTCTTCTGTGTTTGACTCATTAATATGTCCGTTACAGGACGTCAGCCACGAAGGACTTCATCACGTTTAGTCAGCGCCGGGCGCCGCTTTCTCCGGCTACAAGGACTAACGGAGAAATTAACGGCTGGCATGAAGCTTCTGGTTGCTGTGTGAAGTTTTAAAGCTCCCCTCTGTATCAGCTCTGTGTCTTTGTAGATCGACACCGTTCAGCGTCTGAACTGCCTGATGACATTTGGTCAGATCAGCATCTTTCCCAGACGCCACACACAAGGAGAGTGACGTCAGCACATTGGTTTGTCCCGCCCCCGGGTTTGTTGTGTTCTCTCTGCAGACCCCCTCTTGCAGGCGATCTTGGCTCTGTTGTTTTGTTCGTTTTGTCGATTGCCGTGTTCGCATATGTCCAAACGAACCGAGCCAAAAAGGACACGCCCCCTTGTTTCGGATGGTCCAATCGATCCAGGTGTCAAAGCACACTTAGCTAAGCCAGTGAGCCAGTTATATCTGTTTATTGGTAAATAAGTAATGTAAAACGTTATTCTTTAAACTGGGCCCCAAAGTGTTTGTTTGTGCCCCTGAGCTAAAATCTTTGGGGACACAAACAAACCTGAAATATTAAAGCATAGAGTCAGATGGTAGCAGGTTTCTCACCTGTGTGGCAGGAGAAGCAAAGAAATCAAATCATTATATATCGTCATAAAACCTGTCTGTGTTCAGGTGACGTGAGTCAGGTGACGGAGGAGTTCACCTCTCTGACAGACGAACGTCAGACTCTGAGCAGCGACAACATAGAGTTGGGCAGCAAAGTGGAGCAACTGCAGCAGCAGCGAGACGCGTGAGTGGTCCAGCCAGCTGTCAATCAATATGCTGTTCACTCACTGCCTACAGGTTTTTTATGTTACCCTCTCCTTTAAAAAACCTGCCATTGTGTTAACTGTAAACGTTGTAAATGCAGTTCTGCCCTCTAACCAGCCGACCGCTCCTGCTGAACAGGTGTGAGGACGTGTACCTGGCAGTCCGAGTGGAGGGCGACACAAAGGGTGAACAGGATGACCGAGCGAAGGCCGACTCGTACATCTCCCTGTCTCAGTCCGGTCCTGAACACCGGGGCCGACCCCCCCAGGAGGATCCGGAGGTCTGCAGCTCAGAGCTCAGCGTCCTGCAGGTCCAGCTGAGACAGGCTGAGGAGGCGGCTCACAAAGTGCAGAGAGAGGTAACAGCAGCAGCAGTTCACCAAACTCACAACGGCAGCTTTAATCAGCAGCTGTGCTCGCAGTAAAACTTTGTCTTCTTTACTCTGAATTACATGTAAAAAATTCATCTTTACCAAAACAAAATGGAAGAGATGCATTGTGGTCTGCAGTCAGTCTGAAGGAGTCCAGGGTCTCCTGAACAAAAACAGCTTTTGGTCTGGTTAGTGATCAAACTGGTAGTTAGCTAACTCGCTAACTGGTACTAGTGGGGCGATCCATTTACCTCGGAGGTCGGAGCTGGGAATGACATCACCCCGAGCTGACGGCGCTCCAGTAGAACAGATTTAAGTCGGAAAACCAAGATGGATGCCTCTGGCCATCGTTACCAAAACCAGCTGATAACAGCGCATTACGCAGTATTCTGCACATACAATCACCGTAGCAACACGTCTACAGATATAAGTTGGACTGTTTTTAATGAGACACAAATAAGACCTGAGTGCGACAAACGCTCAATTAATACAGCTTTCTCCGCTGTTGATTCCAGAAGCAGCCGTCTTGGATTTTGAGGTCGAGGTCTGTGATGTTCTCCCGACTTTCCGAATAGGAAATCTGAATCTTAAGTGGGCGTATCCCCGTTTCCGACTTGGAACTCGGAAACTCCGACTTCCGATGTGAAATTGAACGCACCATTAGCCTAACACCACCAGGCACAGTAGCACGCCATCTAGCCTGCCGGTCTATAATACTGGTCAATCTGCAGTTAACTAATAGTTGTCGATATGTTGGCCTTGTTGATTTAAATGTTTTCCTCCACTTGGAACTTGGAATTATACTTTCTTGACTTGAGAGGTTGGGCCGATAGACGATGCCACCGTCCGAGTTAAGTCTTTGCGAGTGAGAATGTGCACATAAGACGACCACTACACCCCCGTCCCCCACCCCGCGCGGGCCCCTGATGTCATCGTCCATCCCGATGTTTAAATGTAGACATCGCCCGACCCCACTTGAGACTCGCTTGGTCTGACTCTGTACTTGAGTTAGAACTTCTGTCGAGAGCTGAGACTGGACTTCGGACTTGTCTATCTTGACTTGAATTGTTGGGTTTCTGAAAAGCACAATGGGATAACTGTTGTTGTGATTTCGAGCTATATAAATAAAACTGAATTGAATTACTTGGGACTTGACCAGGAGCATGCCATGGAACTTCAGTGTCAAGTCTTGAGACCTTACAGAGGACCTGCCTGTACCAGACTTGATTTGGAACTTGACTTTGGATCATTAGACTGAGTATCAAGGCAGGAGACCCCACATGGGACTGACTTATCTGGATTTGGTGCTTCAAAGTCAAAATTCGAGACTAGCTTGGGACTAGCTTATCAGAGACTCTCAGGACTTGTCCATCTTGACTTCCTTCATTTGGGATTTGTCGTGAGGTTTGACTTGAGAGCGTTTAGCTTTGAACTTGTCTTTCTGTCAGTGTGATGGTTTGAAGGGCGAGCTGGTGGACCTGCAGCAGCTGTACGACAGCAGCCAACGGGAGCGAGCAGCGCTCGAGCAGGAGCTGCAACGCTGCAAGGACGAGCTCCAGAGACTGATGGGCAGGAAGTCACAGGTGAGAGGCCAAAGGTCAACGGTAAATATAAAGTGGGGGGGGGTTCTAATCACCTGTATGTGATTTCTGACTTTAGAACAGTTGAAACTCTCTGTCCTCATAAAACGTTCTTGGTCAGGTTGGTCATTAGGGCGTCAGGTATCAGCTGAATACAGCTTAGGGTTAAAACTGAGACAGGAAATGTAAGTATGGTCTGACATCTCTCTCAAGCTGAAAGCGTAAGTTAAATGTGTAAAGTAATCAAGGTAAGTGCAACGCAGTACACACCTGAAAAAGTCTGTCCGTCTGTACGTTGTGCATGTGGGTCGATACCAGCTTGGCCGAACCCTGTCTGTCATGTTGCTTTGTGGTTTGCAGCAGCTGCAGCTCTGGTCGTGTTGCTGGTTTTTGAGCGTTTTGTTGTGAGCTTCTTCGTAACATCTGTCGCTGCTGGGCAGTTTGTTTCGTCATGTGTCTCTACGCCTGCTCAGCTGACCGCTTCCTCCGTGCAGCATTCAGGAAGGCTCTAAAGTGGAGCTTTGTTCAATTGTCAAAGGATAAGAGTTCTGACCGTAAAGGTCCATCTGATTGGCTGATAACGTATCATGTGTGGAACAACCCTTAACATACACAGGCATGCAAACTCCTCACCTTTCGTTTTGAATTTGAATCCGTTTTGAAACCAAATGGGGCACCTACGTTATTTGTGCAGATCAGATGAGAAAATACTTTGGGGGGGGGGGGGGGGTCCTGTCAGGTACAGCCATGTTGTTAAGTTTATAACTTTGCCCGCTGTTATTAACCAGTAATGTTCGCTAAGCTAACTGTTCAGAGCAGTGGCAGCTACCTGGATAAAACGTCAACAGGATGAGACATGTTGGCGTCTGTGTCATTTACACTGGGGACGCTGGGGACATGTCCCCGTCACGTTTTGAAAATGTTCGTTAAAAATGTTATAGAACAAATCAAAGTGCTTTCAGAAAGGTTCGTTTTACATTTAAGTAAGATAAAACAAGCTACTTATGAAGTGACCCCAGAACGTGCAGCAGCAGTCAGTAACTTTAACAACTTCTTGTCAGAGTTTCTATTTGGCCAGATTTTCTGTTCTCTCCCTGTGAACATGACAAAAGAGGAGCGAAGACTAAATCACGACTCAGCAGGGACATATTACATATGAAAAGTTGATCTGCAGGAGAAACAGATGTGTAACCAACACATAATGCCTGAGAGCTGCACTGACTTAGATTCTGTTATATTTGTAGATATTAAATTTTCACCTGCCACCTGAATTTAGTGATTCCTTTTACATAAATAAAAACATTTCCATCATAAATACATGTAGGAAAGACAGAGCAGGAAATGTCACCAGAATGCAGGAAATTAAATCTTTAATGCTCAAAACTTTCTGGGGGAGGAGCCCCAGAGCCCCCAACTCATACAGTATATTTCAGCTTTGATGATTTCTATAAAATCCTGTTGTTGTATCGTCACATCTCGTTCTCGTGACAGCAGCATGGTGCATCGCCACGTGAGCTCAGAGTACGGTCACAGCCCTAATCTGAGTGTCCGCACTACTTTTCAACACAAAGTGACGCCCTCTCGTGTCGGTATCTTTCTCTTGTTGCAGCAGACACAACATGTAAGCTTTAAACAGACCCCTCTTCCACCGCCTCTCTGTGTTTCTCTGCTTGCGTATCCTTCTCACCTTTTTTACCCCTGAGCAGTTTGCATGCCTGCATACAGATTTGGATTCAGTTTGTCCCACCTCACTACTTTCCAGAGGTGTCGACCGGAGTCACAAATCTGAAGACGGACTCTTCTGGCAAACGTCAGAAAGGAGCCACTGACTCGTGACCCAAAGCAGACGAGTCTTGCTATAATACTTGACTTGAGACCTGGGTGTCAAGACTTGGCCCTAGACTTGCCTGCTGTGACTTGACACCTGACTTAAGAGTGAAACAGCAGCTAATCAGGGTCTAAACAAACAAACAAGCTTGAAACTGGACATGGGACTTTAGTGTCTAGTCTTGAGACTAGATGTAGGACCTGTCTGTTCGAGACCTGAATTGGGACTTGACTTTTGATCACTAGACTTGTGACTTGAGTATCACGGCCTGAGACTCCACATGGGACTGACAGCTCTGACAGCTTGGGACTTGCTAATCACAGACTCTTGGGACTTGACCTGGGATTGACTTTCTTTGTTTGGGATTTGACTTGAGGTTTGGGAATGGCCTGTCTCGATGTGGGACTTTGGCCTGTCCCGATAATTGCAATATCGACTCATCGCAGGATATATGGACATGACCTCGGTCACCGGTTTTGCTGACGGTCAAAGCCAAAGAGACGCAGCCGTCCAACATGGTCCAGAAACCGGCATTTAAAAATAAACTGCAAACTTTTGACAGGCAGGACAAATTGCCAAAGAAAATGTCCCAAACTGCCATTCCAGCTTTGTACAACAAAGTGAAAAACTTAATTCTGAGGGAGATTAAAGACGTCTCCTTTTACTCTGCTGCTACAGATATGTGGTCAAGCCCAGATATGGCCCCATACATGAGCCTGACCATACATCGGACAAGTAAGTGGCATAAAAAAGTCTTAAAATGACGATATCGTTTATCGAGTATTCCGAAAATATCGTCCAACAGAAGTAGTTATCGTGACAGGTCTTGTGGGACTTGCTGTATAGCTTCACTAAGGACTTGGGACTAAGGACTTTACTTGTTTTGGGACTGGATTTGCCTTCATGAGATTCGACTTAAGACTCGCCTGTGATGATGTGGGACTGGACTTGCAGCTTGACAGAAGACCTGAGTCTCACATCCAGCCCATGTGGTCCCACCGTGTCATCTAGTTTCCCTCCTGGTTTAACCCTTTAACCCACTCTGCAGATCTGCAGACGGTGAAGGCAGCGCCTCAGAGTGTCGGCAGAGATCTTTAAAAGGCAAAGCTCTCCATCTTGTCTTTAACCATCTCTGATTGCCTGCCCTTTCTGTTTCCTTCCTCTCATCGTCCTGTTTATTCCTGATGTCGCCTTTTGTTTCACATGAACTTTATACAACGAACTGAATCAAATTCTGTGTAAATTTGATGGATTCTGATGCTCAGCCTGTTTCTCCTCCATTGTTTTATCTGTTTTTCCGTTTGCTCCTCGCTCGCCTTTCTTCCCGACACGTTCTGGACTTTATTGTTCTGATTGGTTTTATTTCCTCTGACCACGCCCCCTCTCCCCGTGCCTCCCTACACTCCTGCCTTTTGTCTTCTCCCCAGAACTGCACTCGTCCGTCTGAGCCCCCTGTTCTCTCCATCCCCTTCATAGGAATGATTGTAATAGTGGCCTTGATTTGGTGCTGGTGGGAGGAGCTGGCGTCCTAGAGGGGACCAGGTATGGCCACGCCCTTCTTTCTCTACCAGACGCTCTGCTGCTTTTAGAATCTGAGTGGCTGAATCACTGGGGGGACATTAGAGCTACCTGTACTCGACGTCTATCATCGGTGTGGTCCGGCCAAGTGTTTCTCTCTGCTGTGATTCACAGAACGGAGATATTGGACGATTCTGTAAAAAACTCCAAATTACTTTACAGTTACAAGCATTACTTGCATCAAAAAACAAAAAAACCCAGCCTTTACAGAGTACAACATCTGTTTGATCGTACAGAAGTACTCAAACAGATGAAATGGTTGCCTCAACAGCAGCAGGGGCTTCCTCTTGCTCGTCCATTTGATGCCTGCTCTTAAAAACAGTCCTATAAAGAGCTTCTACTGGACCAAACTAGTTGTAGCTCACTGTGATTTTGTGTCTGAGTGCGTTCTGCCTCCAAACACCGAGCTGAGGTCAGCTGACAGCAGCAATGTTAGATGCGTTACGTTTAGACGGCGTTTGCCTGATGGGTGGTTTGAGGAGTGTGTGTGAGTCGGTCATGAGGTTTTTGTGGTGAGAGTGTGTGAATGTGGTGCAGAAGCTGAGCAGGTTCTTTCCAACATGATGACATTACTGATCAAATCTCTCTCACATGACACCCCTCCTACAGTGAGGAGGCTCAATCCTGCTGGAAAACAGAATTAAACAGAGGAGGAATATGTAATGATGTCTTGTGATTAAGATTTAAAGGTGGAGCAGACGATTCAGGAGGAAAACACCACAGCACAGAGCGGACTGGGACACAGAAACAGAAAGAGTTTTTACTTGGAGTCATCTTTACAAGATACCGTTGACTCGTGTTAATTATGAGATATTAGGTCAGAAGTCAAAATTTTGAATGTATTTTAGATTCTAATTCAGTGTTTTGACAAACTATCTTACGTGATAATTCTTATTTTATTGTTCTGATATTGTTAAATATTATCTGCTATTTGTTTTAGATGATCTTGTGAAGGTTTTTGAAAAGCTGTTTTTTCCACGTCAGCACAACCAAAGTATCCCTCAGCACTTTCTAAAGTCACGGTTTGTCACACGTATAATAATGAGGAATAATTTTGACTTAACGAGTGATATTTATGAGAGACAGATTTCACTCAGTGTCACATATTATGTTCATTATTGAATTGTCCTTCAATAATAAGACCGTGTTTTTGGGTTACAATTTCTGATAAAAGCGATCTGAATATTTTACATATTCATTTGTTTATTTCATAATACAGTAAATTATTTGTTTTGTCTCATGATGAGATACTAGGCTCTGACTATAAATAATATCTGTAGTTATTTTATGTTTAGTTATAGTTTTGATATAGAATCTGTCATAATCTTTGATTTTTTTATCATTCTGAACTAGAATATTTCTATTATCATTTTATAATTATACCTCAGCATGCTGGAATAGCTGTTTTTCACACCACCAATACTATGAGAAGTCAGCATTTTAAAATAATAAATATGTTCTTTTAACAGTTTAATACAGAGACGCTTAGTTTGCTATGATTTCCAAATAATTAAATTAATGTAATTCAGTGTAGTTCAGTTTTAATATAGACTATTATATGACAATTTCACTTTGTTTTCACGGAATAAGTTTTTATTTTCTACTTGATTTGCTTTATATTTTTGATTATCATACATCAATGGTTAAAAACTTGTTTTCTTTGTCAGTACGCTCTGACTTCATCATTTTAACTTACTAAGTCATAATTATGATATTTAATACAAATGTTGGCCATCATAAGTCATAAATACAAGACTACTATGTTGCGGTTTTGGCTCAGTTAGTTTGCACATATTACGTATTTTAGAAGTGTTATACATGGTCGTAGTTTCAACAGACAAATATAAGTCTGAATTTTTCACATTTATTCTCATATTATTTTAGATAATCACTCGTTTATGAACTAAAGATTTGAAGCCTGCAGTTTGGCAGCTCGGTCGTCGCCATCTTGTTTTTTTTTTGGAACCAGACGTGACCATATTTGGATGAGAGGGTGGAGCTAGCTAGCTTGGTTAGCAAGCTGCATCTGTAATTCACATTAACTGTGATATTAGCTGGGATGCTAATTTTGGCTAGCGACAAACGGGCTTAATACTAAACATACTTACTGAAAAATGAGCAGCCGACTCCTGATTAGCTTTTTCAGCGGCGCTGTTTTTTTCTGCAGCCGCTGGAGTCGCCCCCTGCTGGCTGCTAGAGAGAATGCAGATTTAACTGCAGCGCTGTTGTTTCAGCACAGCTTGGTGTCCGTGCCAGAGTTGTGAAAAAGCTCAGTTTGTGAAAATTATAATTTTTAAACACTGGACGATTAACAACGAAGGTTTAAAGCTATTTTCTAGTTTGGAAATAGCTTTAAACCTTCGTTTTTAATCGTCCAGTTGTCTTTTCTTTGTCTTTAAACGTGACTGGCAGTAACTCCACTCACATGTCTTCATCTCTTTCTCAGCAGAGTGACACTGGAGGCTGGAACCTGGCGGTGGCAGCGGTTGCAGTGGCGGCCATTGTAGTTCTGGTCGTCCCCAGCTTCACCAGGACCTGAGGTCTACACAGGAAGTGACCTCACTGGGAAGTCTGGGATTGTGGGATTGCCGTCACCCATCCAGCTCTGCCCTCATACATGTTGCTGTCCTGATGTCTGCTTGTTGCATCGCTCTGTTTAGCGGGACAGCGCCGCCGAGACGTTTTCACCCGAATGCCTCAGACGTCAGTGAGCACGTTTTGATAAACGACGTCCTCCATAAAGACTCGTAACTCTTCCTGCAGGTCGTCATCGCACCGTGGATCAGTTGGTTGATTTATCGATCGGCGGTGAGGTTTCCAAATATCCACCATCATGATCCAGGAGTGTGACGGGAAGTTGTCATTTTGCATTATTTTTAAAAGATTCCATTGTTTTCAGAAGCAACCAGAGGTGGATGATTGTTACCTGCTCAGCTCAGTGGAAGAAGTACTCTTTACTTACATAAAAGCAGGATTACCACAGTGTAAAAACTACTTAAAATGTCAAAGTTCTCAAAATTAAGAATAGCCATAGTGTCATAATACTATAAAATATTTTGCAGTAATGCAACATTTCATGTTGCCAGTTAAAGTGGACCTGATTTTGACTATTTAAATGTACTTTAGTGTAAAAAAAAAAAGAAAGGTCATATTTTATTTGTTGACATGTGTTTTTTGTGTATCTTGCAAAGTAACTTAAATTGCTAAATGTGGTGAAGTAAGTGGTATGATATTTCCCTGGAAAATGGAGTAGAATAATAGTATAAAGTGGAATAGAAAAGTTCAGATTTAGTTTAAGTGCCGTACTTGAATAAATGTACTTGTTTATTTTCCTACACTGTTTACAGTAAAGTCCTGTAGTAGTAAATCACAAAATGACTTCACTGATAGACAACGAAGAGATAAAACACAAAGAGCGGCGGATCAGCTTGAGCCCGTCCAGATGCTAAAAACATGAAAGTACAAAATGTTAATGCTGTAAATCTTTATCTTTTATTAATCCAAGATTTTCCTTCTGAGTTATAGTAACAAACCAACTTTCTTTAATATTCAAAATACAAATGAATAAATGCCCAGATCCACAGTGTCCATTGTTTGGTAAGCAGTTCAAAGTGAACATTCAGTGTAGCAAAACCCATTTTTATTTTCTACAGAAACTTTGGACTTCTAAAAACCAAACGGTGAAGATGCTGCAGACAAACAAACAAAACAAACTTACAGCAAAATGGCCTTTTAAATATGAGCTAACAAAGGTGTCGTGTTTGTGTCCACCTGATGTATGAAAGTCCAATATTGACTCAGGTTTGGTTTTGCTCGGACTCAGCTGTTGATCCTCAGTGGGATCGGCAGTATTACAGGCTGTTTAACTCTCTGAGGTCTATGGGCATTTTTTTCAATTTTACCTTGAATTTATATATTCTTATATATATATTATATATCAAAATGTGCAGAAAACCCCCAGCTGTCTGTATAACCTGCTCACCATGTGTCCCAGAGCATTGTGTAAAGAGAGAGAGAGACTGGAAAGCAAAAAAATTTAAGTCAGGTTTTTGAAATTCTTTCAGAAAGCTTCACACAAAATGCAGACAGACAGACAGACCAGTTAGACAATGTGAGAGGACGTCTTCTCTTCCTCCTAGCTCACTGCAAGAATAAGAACTCTGACCTCGAGAATCTGTCAACTAAATATCCGAACCATATTAATGTGCTGCATTATCGCCGAGATATTAACAGAAACACTGAGTTGATGCGCCCGCACGTTCTGAGACGTCATGAATATCAGTTAATGCAGCTTTAAATCGATGATGAAGTAATCAATACAATTTATGTTTATGAATGAAAATCAGACCTCTGGCTCCGTCAGGTGTTCACTAGATTATCTTATTGACCCAACATGAATTATTTAGAGCTGTTTTATTTCCCAATGAACTGAACCAAAAAGTGTTCCTATTTATTTATTTTACTTTGAATAATTATTCAGTAGTCTTACAATAGCTCTAAAATTCTTTGCCTTATGTTTCCGTAAAGGATTTACAGAATATTTTGCACTCGCTGGGTTACTTATGAAGACAGAGATAACGGTAGCAGATAAACTTTGATTGTTTAGTGTTATTAATAAAATGACTCATCTGCAGTCCTGCTTAATACTGAATATTATCTTATCACGTGTTTGTCCAAAAAAAAATGTAGCATGAGAAAAAATAATAATTCAGTCAGCTTTATTTACCTACATATCCCTTTACAGGTCAATTTCAAATGTCTGTATTTGTATGTTTCTAGCACCAAACAGTAGTGTGTACCTCTACTTAAGTAAAAGAGCACTTTTTTAAACTTTAGAAAGGTCTTTGTTGGAGCTGAATCATTCCGAGGAGAGATTATTTGTGTCGACTGAGTTCACTGTGCCAGTTTTTAAGCTCAGATTGTGTTTTTTGACGAAAAAAAGCATGCTGTAGAAAATTTTAGGAAACAAGTTTACCTGCTGCTGTAGCCAGAAATGTATTTTATTTATACAAATGATGTTTTATTTAATATCCGTAAGATCAGCACATGAAGGAAAAGTAAAGCTTTTGGTGAAAATTTAAAAACACGTAGAATTATACAGCCTCATTCAGATGGGATTAAAATAAAATGCATACACCGTAAAGTAATAGCCCGGGCCTTAACTGGATTCAATCTCTTAACTCACTGAGCCTGTTTTTATTTTAACAATATGAATATTAGTAGTATAAAAATTAATCATAACATAAATAATGAATCATTTGATGTTGCTCTGAGAGACAGCACATCAAGGCTGACCTCAAGGCCAAACTCGTTCTGTAAAATTAACTGACAGTGTTTAACATACTGACAAAATATTTATATTGGTTATTTAAGCAGCTCAGCTCAAGAGGACAATTTCAGGACAAACAAACTTCTATAAAAACCAGACTAGGCTTCTAATTGAGACGTTTATTTGTCCAAACCTGCGGCCTCACCAAGCCAGTAACAGGGACGCGTGTCCAACTGGGACTTAATTTGGACATAATGGGTTTTAATTTAAAGTTTTACGGTATTTGCCTGTGATTCTTCCTACATCTAAATTATATAGATGTCATTATATATAATTAGTGCTGCAACTATTATTTTCATTATCGACAAATCCGCCAACTATTTTCACGATTAATTGACTCATTGTTTTGTCTATAAAATGTCAAGAAATTGTGAAAAATGCTCATCACAATTTTCCAGAGCCCAAAGGGACGTCTTCAGATTGCTTTTTTTGGTCCAACTAACAGTCCAAAACCCAAAGACTCTTCATTTACTGTCAGAAATTACAAAGAATAGCAGCAATTCCTCAATTTAAGAAGATGAAAACAGCTAATTTTTCAGATTTTTGCTTAAAAAATGCCTGAAATGATTAATCAATTATCAAAATAGTTGTCGATTAATTTTCTTTCGACCAACTAATCGACAAATTTTTGCAGCTCTATACATAATATAAGTTTAATAGTGAATAAAAGAGGCCCCAGGATAGAGCCTTGCAGAACACCTTCACTAATGAAAATGAGACTGGCTGATAAAATATTATGTTACAGAACAGAAATTTAATTTGTCAATACAGAAAAGTGAGAAATGAGTTTTGATAGTCATACAACCATTTAGGAGACCTTAAATAACTCAAAAATGTTGTGTTTTTTCTGTAGAAATGAAGAAATAGATGAATAAATCCTCTCTGAATGCGGCTGTAGAGATACAGATCATATCTCAAACCCCAAAGATAAACCCGCTGATGACGTGTCAGAGTGAACACATTTTCTTTTGTCTATATTTTATATGTTTTTTATTCGGGGCGATTAAATCCTCCCCCCATCATCCTTTGTTTTGCACACTTTTAGTTTTTGAATGGATTGGGATCGAGGCCTGATTCATGTTTACATTTAAGTGGTGACCAAATAATCACAGGAGCTACAATCAGACGTTCAGATGACTGTGATCCTGTTTTAGGCTGGAAAAAGGTTATTTAGATTTAAAACTGTTTCTCTGGATATGTGACGATGCATGTGACCAAATATTAGCAAAATAAAAGACATTCCAGTTCTAACACTAGCACCGGCGATACAACACTGTTGAGCGTTTAAATACTGTATATATAACAAAACCTTCTCAGCTCGCTCTGCTTAGCATGATGGGTGGACAAAATACCTGGAACACATGATAAAGAAGGCCTTTAACAAACTGTAGGAACTAAAACTCAAATAATAGAATTATTTATTTAGTATTTAATGATTAAGTGATATATGTATTGTGATTAACATCAGGGCATTGATAAGGATATAACAGGTCTAGCAGCATGTGTCATTAAGACCTTGTCATATAATTTCTGCATGAGATCTAGACACGTAGTTATTTTAATCAGATTATAATGGTGGAGATACAGACACACAGATTCTGTAAATAACATCAAAACTGTAGACGATGAAGCAGCCGCTATTTATTTCAGGGGTTTACTTTGTAATGTGTGGAAGCCCATTTACACCAGGAAAATATTTAATAATTAAAGTTAGAAATTATAAAATTTGACTTGTTTCTGCCAGAAAAGAGAAAAACATTTATACAAATTGGATATTACACAAAAAAATTCACAATTCTGACTTAAATCATAATTTAAACTTTAAGAGTCATAATTTTAAGATACTGAGTTAAAACGTTTGGACTTACTAACTCCACATTTCAAGGAATTCAGTCAATATTTTAACTTTAACTTTTAACTAAAATGATTGTAAGCCTTTTTACTTTGAAAGTCATAATTTTTATTTAACATTTAATAAATTTGACTTTAGTGAATAAAAAATTGGACTGATTATTGGTTTCCTGATATCTAATAGCTGATATATCAATGCATTTAATTTATGTCTAGCTTGTTTTTGTGGTGTATCTGGGCCTCCATATTTATCGATCGTTGGTCGTAGTCTTTACCGTCTTGTCTTGAGATGTCGGTAATGTACGTTTTGTTTGTGTCGTTCAGTACTTCTTCTGACAGGAAACGCCAGTGTCATGTTGTAAAATGTTGTAAAATGTGAATGTTAGTACAGAAACAGTGAGTTTTGGATGCTGACTGAATAATTAATGAATCAGCCTGTTCTGATCTTTGTTTCTCTTAGTTTTTAGTAAAAACACTGAATCTTCCTGGACGCTGCATGCTGATGCCGCTCTGTACAAACTCTGTACGTCTTTTGTAGGAACACTTGATCATGGTTGGTTCTGTTCTGTACATACAACAGTTCCAGTTTGATTCTTAGATGGTGCTCGTTATTTTTCATACAGCCAATTAGAGTGTAGTTCAGAGGTTTCGTCAAACGTCGCAGTAGAAATAGAGTCTGGGGATGGACTGATCATTGGTTTCCTGTTATCTAATAGCTGATGTATCAGGACACGCTGCTGCTGGTTTCCTGATTTATCACAGAGCTGTTTGTCTGAATCACACCAAATTCGAGACAAAAAAAACATGCATTTTATGTTCACAGATTTCTTTGATCATTTCTGACATCAACATTTTGGAAAAAAACTATTCGACCGTTTCTTCCCCTGCGTACAAAATGATGTATTTTGTTTGTAGTAAGCAGCAGAAACACAGTGAACAATGTAATGTACTTATTTTAACCCAAACCTCCATGTAAATTTGGATTTGGTGCCGAAATACAAACAGTTAACGATCCTGTAATGTTAAAGTCACAAAACCTCTCCTGATGGTTCGTGTGTGTGTCTACGAAGACGCCTGGAGAATTGTTCCGTAAACGGTTTTATAACTGGAGATTTCACTGGCGTAAAACTGCTACATTTAAAAAATAATCAACACGACCAATCACATGATCCTCTGTGGAATTTAAAAAGCAACACAAACACATTTAACCATCTGCTTGGTTTGGTAGAACCCGTTCTCACGCCTGACCCTCACACATGGACACATGGTCAAGACCCGTTGGCGTCAGTTTGTGACGGTAAAAGCAGCGTAGGTTAACGCACGTAACACCAAACCTGGATCTTTTCATAAACCTAACCAAGTAGTTTTGGTGCCTAAACAAAACTGCAACGTTTCACAACATTAACAAGTACTTTTATTTTGAAAGTCTCACCGGACGTTGCATATTTATTCTTCTTGATCACAGAGCCCTTTTACGTTGAAAAACTATGCTAAATGGTACTCAGGGCGTAAAAAAGCGACGCCAAGGGGTCGGAGCAAGCGTCTATATGTGACGAGTTGGAGTGAGAATGTGTTGACCTTATTGACTTATTAACTCTGACCTGACTGCTCAGCTAAGTTTAGGAAAACTACTTTTGGACAGTCGGCATGTTCAGTCAGAGCAGCAGATAAATGGAACTCACTTTGGGCCCAAACATTTAATTAAAAAGAAGAACAGCCTCCCTGTGACATCAGAAACCCGGATCAGTACTTCCTTAGCGGTGTCGTGACCAGCGTTAGGTAGCTCCGTGTTGCATGTTAGATTTAGAGACTGTAGTAAACGTGCATGAGACTAGACGAGTAGATCCAGACGCAGTAGCCGCTGTAGAGTTAGACGACGCTCAGCATGACAGTGGTAGCATGAGCGCTGTAATCCAATTCTTCCATCAGTCACCTTCCAACCGTTTATTACTGTTTATGTAGTTAAGAGTTTAAAAAAGTCTGATGTTTTAAACTCTTTTTGGTGTCTGTCTCCTCCAGAGTTCAGTCAGTTTCATCTCCGTGTCCAGTACAGAGAGAGGACGTCTAGCTTAGCTTCGCTTAGCTTAGCACAAACACTGGAGGATGGCTGCATCAAAACAGAAACAAACCTACCTTCCAACAGCTCCACCTCCGTCTGGTTTGGTTAAAGTTGGAGCTATTTGTTTATCAACAACCACTGCTAGGCTAGCAGTTACCCCCTGTTTCCAGTCTTTGTGCTAAGCTAGGCTAACCACGCCCTGGACCTAGCTCTGTATTGGACGAATGAAGCTGATGTTTCCGTGTGACTCTGGAGAGTTTAAACTCTTGGTGTGTCCTCAGAGGATTGTCCTGCTTCTTGACGCTGTGTTTGTCTGTCAGGTATCAGGTGTGCTGTACGAGCTTTTAGTTAGACCTCTAAGCTTTGAGTAAACCGGCATGTTGTCGTCTGGCTGCTGTTTGTTCTGTTTTAAATGATGGGTTCTTCTCTTCCTGTCGGTTTTTCTCTCTCTTTTCTGTCCTTTGCTTCTTTAAAGGACTCTTAATAACTGTTTTTGTTTTTATTTTTCTGTGATGGTTTAGTTTAAATGGCCTGTACATTTTGTAAATGAACTGACCAATAAAAAGTAGTTTATCCTTGTCTTTAATGTCTCTTATTGTTAACACTGACTGTATAAAAGAAGTGGGCGGAGCCGCCGTGACGTCCCCCACCCAGTTAGTTTGTGGACCCCCGCTGAAGCCTCCAGTTTGGCATTTTGCCCGTCGCCATCTTGTTTTCTTCTAACAAGATGTGACCATGTTTGGACAAGAGGGTTTGTTAGCAAGGTGCATCTGTTATTCAGGTTAACTGTGTTATTAGCTGGGATGCTAATTTTGGCTAGCAACAAACAGGCTGAAAACAAAACGTACTTACTGAAAAATGAGCAGCTTTTTCACATCTACATCTCTCGTCTCGCACAATATACATCAACAACATGTTAGCGCAGTAATGCTAGCTAACGTTCATGGCTTGGTTGCTACTAGCTAGATAACGTAGCTATGTTCCACACAGAAATATATCTCACCTGATGTGTTTAATCCAACGACTCTCGGTCCTTTTATCACATATCCTCTCATGGAAGCTCTTTCACGTTAGCTTTGGTAACGTTAGCTTCGGTAACGTTAGCTTCGGTAACGTTAGCTTCAGACATTGAGAGAAAAAGTTACTTCACATACGCGACTTTTGGGTTTGTGGTCTTTGTAATTATGTATTTTCAGTCTTATGCTTCAACAGTTTTACATCAAACTGCGACTTTCTTGACTTTTAAATGTTTATTTTAAACTGACAAACGTGTGTAATATTCAATTCAAACAGGATCAAAACATTAGTTGTCTCTTACCATTGAATACGGAACATATTTTTTCTGAAGTAAGGTCCCATGGTGGTCCACGGCTGTCTATCCTGATTGACAGGTCGCCATGGTAGCGGCTTGTCAATCAGCTTGTAGCCCCGCCCTAAAGCCTCCCCTGCTTCCTGGTCTCTGTTCCTCTAAATGGGACCATAATTTACTAAATGAACATCATGCTGTGTTGAAGAAGACTTGAAACTAGCGACTGAGACCAGAAACTCATCAGGAAAGTGTTTACTGAGGGAATAAATCAGCTGACAAGTAGAAACATTTTCTCAGAGACTTCTATACAATCAGGTGGAGTCGCCCCCTGCTGGCTGCTGGAGAGGACGCAGGTTTAAGGAGCTTCACTTTAGAGACCTGGAGCTTCCTGCTTGATGGTGATGTTGAGTATGATTATTTATTTTCAGTTTTGATAAGATTTTATTATGAGTATCAATAAAAGACCCCTTAAAGACCCTTTTTAAAGTTTTATGAAAATAAACTTGCATCACAATGAATATTACATTACATTACATTATTATAAAAATATTACACTCTGTTAATTCACTTTATGTTACACATTATGTTATTTAATATAATATTATGCTCTGTTCATCTGAGTTGCAGTGTTGTATGGTTTTATGTTCTCCCACGTTACTTTACACCACGTTACCTTGCAGTTATGCATCTTTTCTGACAAAATTACAATAAACAATCATAGTTATTCATCTTGTATAACAAAACAAGATGATAACTTGTGATCACAAGCCATCAGGTTTACTGTAATATGCTGTCCAGTGTAAGTTATTCTCCTGAACAGACGTCAGGAAGAGCTGCTGCTGATTATTAATAATGCTCTTATCATCCCTGCGTCCTTCTCAGAGCAGCAGAGGCCTTTAACCAGCTGAGAGCATCGTGAGTAAAGCTCAGAGGAACTCGGCTTTAATTTTAGTTTGTCTCTATATTTAATCAGGCTGCGGTTTTACTCTCACCCTGACAGAAGTGTGAGCTCGTGTTTGTACTTCTGTCCCGTAGGTTTTATATAGTAGGCTTCTGACCTCATACAGTAATACTACGATAATACTTTCTCAAATAGATTCCCACGAGTCAGCATCTTTATAAAAGGTTTCAGACTCCAGTTTGTAGTCTCTAAGCCTGATGACATCACTATGACATCATCAGGTTTGATGAGGACTAATGGAGTTTTCAATTTAAAGGTTTTAATCCCCTAAAAAGCCCTGAAACCGTGCAGATAATCCCACAAAACTAAAGATTATTTTAACCTTCTTTTGTTTTTAAGTGATTAGTTGATCATTTGTTGTTTACAGAAACCATAAACGTTACACAGGAGGATCTTTTCCATCACGGGTAACTTTGAACAAACGTCGAATGTGTTTCATTCCTCATAAAACATTTACACAGATCAAGTATTTTAAATCCATGATCGTTGGGGTCCAGGTTAAACGAACAGAGGCCTTCGCAGTGCCACACGGGGTCCAAAACCATTCAGGTGATCCCTGAAAGTCTCATTAGAAAAACTACATTTCCACATTAGTTATAATAATAAGTACATTAGAAGAATTTAAAGATGGAAAATTATTCAGTTTCATAGTGAAGAAAAATGGCTCTTCAGGCTTCAGCCCTGCAGAATGAAGCAGCCGTCAGACAGAGGACAACATTTAAAATATTACTGCAGCATTAAAAATGAATAATTAGTGCTGAAGTCCAAACAAACAGAACATTCGATAGATGAAAAGAAAAACAGGATTCTGAAATCAGATTCGATCCCCTGATCCAGTCTTTGATCTGGATCAGACTTCAGTGTTTGTTGGACTGGGATTAACAAACAGAAGTCTGGATTTCAGGAACAAAATGTATTAAAACTTTAAATCTGGTCAAATAATACGTCCTTTGTATCATGTAGAATGTTTATTTATCAAGTTCAAGTTTGTTCTTATAGCACATTAAAAACAGGACATGTACAAAACAAAGACAGCAGGTCAAGATGTGGGTCTGCAGGAGATCTGGAGCAGCCATGAAAAGGCTTATTCTGATCGGACCACCTCAGCGCTTTGACAGGAGTGTGAACATGTAGAAGACCTGATGAATAAGAAGGTGCCAGGCCGGTCAGGGTCCCTGCAGGGCCCTCATTCTGAGATCGGCCTCCTGAAAGCTGTTGGTCCGTTCACAAAAGTAGAAGAAGAAGACCTTTATTTTTTTTGGCTTTTTTCTGATTTAAAACGTCTTCAAAATATCCACAGTGCATCTGTGTTTGTTGTGGGACTCCACGCTGACTAATCCACCTGTAGTTCTTTCTACAGCTGACAGCTACATTGTGATCTGTAATCCCATTTAGAGCCATCTAATCCAGATTAGGTAATCTTATAAAGTTTATATCTGGATCAGAGCGATCTAATCCAGCGCTGCTTTGATGGAACAAAAGTAAAATGGATTACTGGATCCTGGATAGCAAAATCCGGATCATTCTGATCCAGATAAAACTTTTTGAACAACTGGGCCCTGGCGGACTGAGGTAGTGTCCTGATTGGCTGCCCTCTGATGACGTAGGGTTTCTCTTCACGCCAGTTTATGAGCAGCTTTTTACAAACGGGCCCCCGGTGTCTGTCCCCGGTTTGGAGCCTCTAAAAATACCTGGAGGTGTCACCGCGGCCTGTGGGGGTTCCGGGGTGGGGGGGTCCGGCCTGTCCCCGCCCCGGAGCCCCGCCGCCACCCAATGAGCTGCGGCCTCCGTATCTGTGCGGGATTAGAGGATGCCCGGGCTGTACTTGTATATGGTCATGGCAGGGGCATTCCTGGGAGTCCAGCGGAGTGACGCCGAGCTTTTTAAACCTCTGCTCCACTTCTCCTCCACCCGCAGTCCCGACTCTCTCAGGCCGCCGCCGCCTGCGCGTCTTTACCCGGACACAGGAGCGAGTCTGTCCGGAGGAAGAAACACTCTCTTCTTCTTCTTTCTCCTTCTTCAGTGACGTTCCTTCATATTTTATCCCCGCAGGAGCCCATGACACGGCCCGCGCTGGATTAACGGACTCTGGATCTGCTCTCTGGCCGGAGCGCACGCTTCCACTCTTTACGCAAACTTCGGTGAAGCGTGTGACTCCCAGCTGGCTTGGCACTGCCCCCGCCGCTCCTCTTCCTTTCTCTTTTTTCTGCCTTTTCTTCTCTTCCCACTCCGCTTTGTCCTATAAAAGGGGGTCAGCATGATGAGCAACAGCGGCTACTTGGAGCCGCACCAGCTGCCGCCGCAGTTCTACCAGAGCGCCGCGGACATCGGCGAGGAGGAGGAGGAGATGCCGGCCACCGAGAAGGACCTGGCGGAGGACGCGCCGTGGAAGAAGATCCAGCAAAACACGTTCACCAGGTGGTGCAACGAGCACCTCAAGTGCATGAACAAGCGGATCAACGACCTGCAGAAGGACCTGAGCGACGGGCTGAAGCTGATCGGGCTGCTGGAGGTGCTGAGCCAGAAGAAGATGTACAGGAAGTACCACTCCAGACCCAACTTCAGACAGATGAAGCTGGAGAACGTTTCCGTCGCCCTGGAGTTCCTGGAGAGGGAACACATCAGACTGGTTTCTATCGGTGAGTCCCGCAGAACACACGCGCGCCCAGCGTGGAGAGTTTTTACGCACAAACACAAACTGCGCGTTCAGAGACAGAGACAATGTTAGAGGGCTGAGAGGGATGAAATGAGCTCAGAAGATTCCAGATCCAGAAGCAGCAAAGATAAAGAATCCACTTCATCTCTGTTATTGCACTTTTTAAATCATTTGTTCTCCAGAATATGTCAGACACAAACTATGAGCTTCATAAAGAGCAGATTTAGGAAACAGAAAAGTGAAGACTGTTCAGAGCAGCTGCGTGATTAGTAAGAAACAAATGAAACATAAATACATACAGAACAGGAACGTGTTTGTTGAGCAGAGTGAAATGTTTGATAACCAGGAGCATCTCTGTTCATCCAAAAAGGGTTTTAAACTTTAATATTGACTTTATTGAGACCTGTAAATGTTCCTCTTGAAGAACTCGGGTGTAAAGAGTCTTTAATGTTGCTGCAGCTGCTTGTTGCGGCTCTCAGGTGTGTTTGCAGGTGTTAACAGCCTCAGTAAAGAGCTGCTGAGTGGAACTGTGTGTCTGTAGGTAACCTAATACTTTTTGAGGTCCTAGATGATAAGTATACAGTATTTTATAGAAGTATTTTTATTTTCTGGATTATTTAGGAGTCAAAACATTTTATTTATCAATAAAAAGGACCAACTAGCTTCGATCACTGACTTTTCAGTTTAACACAAAAAGGAGACACTTTTTTTTTTCTGATAATGTTTTAACATTTTAAGGCCTTATTACCATTTAAAGACCTTTAAACCAATGAAATACTGTAACAATAATCAATTAAGTACCTAATTATTTTGTCAAATCCCATCAGTTATTATCTTCATTCACCCCTTAAATAAATCTACCCAGTTTAGGTCTACTGATGATTTTAAAAAAACCTAAACCCTCAGAATCAATGAATCCTCCATAAATGGACTGAACCCCGCAGAGTCCAGAGTATTTACACGTCACTGAATTTACACCTTTGACTGAAAAGTTACCAAGAAACTTTTGGTTTTGTAAACTTTAAAAACCCTCTGAAAAACCAGATTCACCCAAATCCAGCTGTGTTACTTTCACCGGGTGAGACCTGAACGTTCTGCTCCGTGATGGAGAAAGAAAGTTCAGACGAGCTTCTCCAGCTTTTCAGTGAAATTTAGGGAGTTAAATATCCACTTTGATACAGAAACACATCAAAGTTACGCTTAATAACTTACTGATCTTTCAATCCCGTCAGACGTCTTTTCACAGAGAGAATAATGAAAAGTGAAGGTTTTAAACAGCCGATCAACACCTGAGATCCAACATGTGAAGCTGACACACGACTTCTACTTTGAACCCTGCAGTCTGATGTAGTACTGCAGTACTGCGATGTTGTACTGTAGTGTAGTACTGCGGTACTGTGATGTTGTACTGTAGTGTAGTACTGCGGTACTGTGATGTTGTACTGTAGTGTAGTACTGCAGTACTGCGATGTTGTACTGTAGTGTAGTACTGTGATGTTGTACTGTAGTGTAGTACTGTGATGTTGTACTGTAGTGTAGTACTGCAGTACTGTGATGTTGTACTGTAGGGAAGTACTGTGATGTTGTACTGTAGTGTAGTACTGTGATGTTGTACTGTAGTGTAGTACTGCAGTACTGTGATGTTGTACTGTAGTGTAGTACTGTGATGTTGTACTGTAGGGAAGTACTGCAGTACTGTGATGTTGTACTGTAGGGAAGTACTGCAGTACTGCGATGTTGTACTGTAGGGAAATACTGCAGTACTGTGATGTTGTACTGTAGTGCAGTACTGTGATGTTGTACTGTAGTGTAGTACTGTGATGTTGTACTGTAGGGAAGTACTGCAGTACTGTGATGTTGTACTGTAGGGAAGTACTGCAGTACTGCGATGTTGTACTGTAGGGAAATACTGCAGTACTGTGATGTTGTACTGTAGGGAAGTACTGCAGTACTGCGATGTTGTACTGTAGTGTAGTACTGCGGTACTGTGATGTTGTACTGTAGGGAAGTACTGCAGTACTGCGATGTTGTACTGTAGGGAAATACTCTAGTACTGCGATGTTGTACTGTAGGGAAGTACTGCAGTACTGCGATGTTGTACTGTAGTGTAGTACTGCGGTACTGTGATGTTGTACTGTAGGGAAGTACTGCAGTACTGCGATGTTGTACTGTAGGGAAATACTGCAGTACTGTGATGTTGTACTGTAGGGAAGTACTGCAGTACTGCGATGTTGTACTGTAGTGTAGTACTGCGGTACTGTGATGTTGTACTGTAGGGAAATACTGCAGTACTGTGATGTTGTACTGTAGGGAAATACTGCAGTACTGCGATGTTGTACTGTAGGGAAGTACTGCAGTACTGCGATGTTGTACTGTAGTGTAGTACTGCGGTACTGTGATGTTGTACTGTAGGGAAGTACTGCGGTACTGCGATGTTGTACTGTAGGGAAGTACTGCGGTACTGCGATGTTGTACTGTAGTGTAGTACTGCGGTACTGCGATGTTGTACTGTAGGGAAGTACTACGGTACTGCGATGTTGTACTGTAGGGAAATACTGCTGTACTGCGATGTTGTACTGTAGGGAAATACTGCTGTACTGCGATGTTGTACTGTAGGGAAATACTGCTGTACTGCGATGTTGTACTGTAGGGAAATACTGCGGTACTGCGATGTTGTACTGTAGGGAAATACTGCGGTACTGCGATGTTGTACTGTAGGGAAATACTGCGGTACTGCGATGTTGTACTGTAGGGAAATACTGCGGTACTGCGATGTTGTACTGTAGGGAAATACTGCGGTACTGCAATGTTGTACTGTAGGGAAATACTGCAGTACTGCGATGTTGTAGTGTAGTGTAGTACTGCAGTACTGCGATGTTGTACTGTAGGGAAATACTGCGGTACTGTGATGTTGTACTGTAGTGTAGTACTGCAGTACTGCGATGTTGTACTGTAGGGAAATACTGCGGTACTGCAACGTTGTACTGTAGTGCAGTACTGTGATGTTGTACTGTAGTGCAGTACTGCAGTACTGTGATGTTGTACTGTAGTGCAGTACTGTGATGTTGTACTGTAGTGTAGTACTGCAGTACTGTGATGTTGTACTGTAGTGCAGTACTGCAGTACTGTGATGTTGTACTGTAGTGCAGTACTGCAGTACTGTGATGTTGTACTGTAGTGCAGTACTGCAGTACTGTGATGTTGTAGTGCAGTACTGCAGTACTGTGATGTTGTACTGCAGTGTAGTACTGCAGTGGTTTATGGGTAGCGCTCAGCTGGGGCCCCGACTCTCCGTCTGTTTTGTTTGTAGGAAAACATTTATGTTGTCGACAGGAAGTCGTCGTTAAACTCTGTGACACCTGTCGGCCAATCAGAAGCGTTGTGTCCTGGTCTGAAAGTCCAATCCCGACCCGCCGAGTGACCTTACTGCAACTTTAACTTTGCGTTCTTGTTTATTTCCTGTTTCAGTCTGCCAGCAGCGTCACTTCCTTTCCTCTCAGCGGTAAAAGCAGATTTCTGCGGTTTCAAACGGAGACTTTAGTGGGTTGCAGGAAGGAAGAGAATCAGTGTGAACTACAGGTCTGTAGTTTAACTGCAGGGCTCCAGCTGTAGGGGGCCTGGGGGGCCCGGGGGGCCCGGGGGGGGGGGGGGGGGGGGGGTGATTGATGGGGGACAGCTGGCTCTGCTCTGCCTCCACCAACAGCTGCTGAAAATAGACCTGAGAGACACAGAGAGGAAACCATGAACCCACATCCACTTCAGTCCAGATCCTCTTTGATACAAACACAAAGTGAGTCGGTCTCAGACCAGATCAGACCTCTGAGACCAGCAGAGACCAGAACAGAACCAGCAGGTCCCAGGTGAGCTCAGCCATGTAAGGTACACAGCGCTTCATGATGATGAACCTCAGGAGGGGTGACACAAAAACAGAAAACACAACAAGAGAAGATTAAACGCTCCTGATTTCTAAAGAGAATTTAAAGTCCGGACTCTGGCGGCCTGATGTCCTCAGGCAGCTCGATCCAGATCCTCGGGGTTCTGGCGGTCAAAGCTCTGTCCCCTTTGGTTGTCGGCCTGGACTCAGGGAAACACAGGAGACCCCCGACTGAGATCTCAAACTACGCAAACGCTCATAAGGAGTTAAAAGATCCTAAATATGATCCAGAGCCGGGTCCCAGAGAGCCTTAGAATCCGAGCCAGAGGCTGAACCCGGTGTGATCGGACCTCCTGGTTCTGGTTCAAGAACAAATGAGGCCATCGGAGAATCAACCAGCAGGATCCTTAATGTGATCCAGTTCTGACCTGCAGCAGTTCTTCATTAACAGCTCAGTTCAGTCTGCTGGTCTGAGACCGACCCTGGTTTCCTCTAAAGCCTCAACAAATTTAGAAAAATATCTAACTGTGATCATTTTTACTGATATTGTGAAAGTAGAGGGAGCGATGGTTTTTACATCCTTACTTTAATTAAAACCCTCCCGCCCCGTTTCCTGGCAGGTCCCCATCAGAAGCCGGGTCTGGTTCTAAACCTCTTTAAGCCCTCCGGGTCGCCCCCTTTAGCTGCTGTAAGCTGCTGTGAATCCTGCAACGTCCATCTCGATTCATTTCAATTCAAATCAGCTTTATTGGCATGAATGTATAACAACAGTGTTGCCATAGCTACAAATAAATTACAGAAGAACAATTAATTTCATTAAATAAGTAAATAAAACAGTAAAAGTGTTTGTGTGTGTTAATGAAATTAAAATAACATATTAAACGTTCTCTCTCAGTCCGCTGACTCCGCCCACACTCTTCTCTGCTTCCTGCAGCGTGTTGTTGGGTGCGCTTGTTTTCGTTACCTTGCTGCCTAAAAACAGCCGTCTGTCGGAGCCGGATCAAATGTTTGATTCGATGTTATTTGATATATAATATTCAGCTTCCCTGCTTTGCTGAGCGACAGATTTGTCTGAGAGGAATTAAAGGCCTGCTCCAGATGCAGGGCTG